TCTTCTACCTTTGCCATTTATTCAATAAAAATTGAGATGTAACACGTGGCCTCATCGCCCCATCTCTCGATGTCTCTCCCTGCTCATATCGGTTCTTTTGTTGATCACGACGCCTTTTAATTTCTCTATATTCATTAGTCGATATTTTCATCTCTGGGTCAACTGTTCCGGTTTCTTTTGCCCTAGGTGATGTCAGAACCTTAGTCTTCCCTTTGAGCAACTTAGCATCAACCATGTTCTGATCTTTTGGAAAAGGATTATCATCGACTTTCATTTTCTGAGCTGTATCAAATTTAAGCTTTCCCTATTGAATAGCCCTCTAGATATGCTATCGAAAAATTCTGCAATCATTAGTAGAATGAGAAGTAGTGTTATAAAATTTGTAGAACTTCTTATTCTTCAACTGATCGGGTGGTAATATAACGTGATTGGCAGTCAATTTAATTTGTCCCTTCTCGAGGAAGAAATCAAAAAGTTTGTCTGCTTTTATAACGTCAAAATCATAACTCTCTTTAACTCCTTTTTCCCAAGGATTTGGAACCATTACTATCTTTTTACCCCAATTCCATTCAGCTGCAGCAATTTCCTCTTCTTCATCATCCTCACCATCATCAACTAAATATGGATTATAAGCTTCAACAATTGCGGCATTCTTCTAGAGTCGGGTATCTCTGCGCATATTCTGGAATTGGCTATTAAGTGCTGCCACCCGTTGAGCCAATTCACCTAAATTATCAAATTCTTGCCCAAGCAGTTTTTCTCTCCATGTTGGCAACATTCCTTGAACAACCAAAGCAGCTAGCCGATCATCAGTCAGATTCAACGAAAAGCACAAGTTTCTTGTTTCTCGAAACCTCTAAAGAAACTCAGCACCCGATTCATTAGTTCTTTGCCTTATGGTTGTCAAATCTATGATTTTTCTTTTCCCTGTCCTAGTATAGAAATATGTATGAAATTTTTTCTCAAGGTCACTGCAATTGGCAATAAAATTAACTACTAATGATGAAAACCAAGTGAAAGCTGGTCCTGACAGGGACAAAGAGAAGAAACGGACTCGATGAGCTTCTTCAACAGAAGCTTCACCCAACTGAGTAAGATATTGACTGACATGTTCTATTGTGCTTATGCTATCCTAACTAGTGAACTTAGCAAATTCTAGAAGACTGTAGTTTGTAGGAAGAGCAACAAAATCATACTACTCTGGATATGGACGTTTATACGAAAAGGTTTGCCCTTTTGGTTTTAAACCGAACTAATTTTTCATCATTTCAGTTACTCTGAGCAACAACTCATCAGCATTTGAATTTGAATTTCTTTGCAATTGCTGACCCATCTGCGGATTGAAATTCTAAGTGCCTTGATACCCTAGATTTGGAATCATATTGAGGGTATTATAATCTGTGCCATAATGACATCCTTGTGGAATATCTATCTGTTAAGTCTTTTGCTGATTTGCTGCTTGAAATCTCTGATTGAAAACATTAGAATCTGTATCTCTACAAATCCTTTGAACTAATGGCGCTATTTTTTGAACTGACGACGGTATTTGGCCTGATGTACCAAAATTAACCATTTGATTCTGAACTTGCCCTATCGGCTGTTGCACATGCTGCACTGATGATCTAGGATTATATTGTATTTGATTAGTAATAGCACCTTGAATTTGCTCAGATGAGTTCTGAATTGCCTGGGCATCATTATTGTTAGCTAGTGCTACTTCTTGATGACTAGTACCGGCTTGATTAGTCCTCTGAGTTGACGGATGTGGAATATTGTAATAAGCCGGTCCAACCTGATCAATTGGAAATCCATGAAACACCTTCTTCATGGTATTGTGGAATGTATTCAAGAAAGCTGTATTATGATTCAACATGGCATCACGGACAGATTTGTTGACAACTTCTACAAAGAAACGCCTATCATCAGCTTCGTATGGACAAGTGGATATTTTCTGAATAACCTTATTGTCACGTGTTTTGGTGTATGACAACAAGCACTTGTTCTGAAACTCCTCTATAGCCTTACCAATGACATCTTTATCCTCTTCAAGTAAATCTTCATAAGGCACCATAAGAATGTGCCTGTTGTTGTAAACCGCCATGACGATTGTGGTCCCATTGGGCGTGCCAAAAAGTGTGTTGATACAAAAATGTGTCAATGTGACCAACACACAGCAAGCCGGAAGATCCAAACAGAACAAGACCAAAGATCTGCTTGGCTTCGACACAGAACCAACTGATTCTGAAAACCGAACGATGTGCCAATCAATTTGACCTGTAATTAACAAGGAGAGAAAATCTTATCAATAATTTAAGGTGGAATATGTCAGTGTTGATCCAGACAGTTCCAAATATACGGCTAGATAGCCGATTCAAAAAGGCTATCGACTAAATAGTCGATATCCGACATATCAGTGAAACGAGGATCACTGAATTAAAGATTATCGGCTAATATCAAATAATAATGATATGAATTTAAGATAACCGATGCTCATGGGTCACAGCAGATATATTGTGATTGATTAATCTAGTCAAAAACAAGTACAATACACCCAAATATAAGTGATATAAGAAAACATCATCGGTTATCTTATATTCATATCACTTATAAAGCGTTAAGACGATAAGTTTGACAAAAGAGAGTATAACATGCGAACAAATCGACTGTCTACTACAAATGAATCTACAAACACCCTGAATCTAATCTATTATCATCAATAGTGAGGTTCGATCGAATCGATACAGCTATGATAATGATATCAAACTAAAGCCAAAGAATCTATAAAACCATCTATATATTGACAGGTTCATGAAATCATGTTATACGTGAAAGCACAGATAAATCAGCTAAAATAGTTAATGCATGCATAGCAAACAAACAGAATACATGTCTCGATCATGAACAAAACTGCTAATCGATAATTTCTAATCTAAAGTCTTACCAGTAAGGTTTGACCGGGTCGATGCAACTATAGTGGTGTCATTATATTAGATCTCATTGACTAGTGAATTTATTCAAGATTGAAACATGTCTTTGAACGCATACTATGTTTAATTGAGATAGGGATAAAACAGCCAATCTAGCAGAACGAAGCCATCAATTATAAGATTTAAAGCGTGACCAGATTAAAGGACGACCAATTAAGATAATTTGAGGCCAATCTATCTCTATCTCAATCGGGTAATTCATTATAATTAATAAAATATTAATTATAATAAGATTGATAACCGGTAAATCAACCCAAAACAGCAAGGAAAATCTTACTAATCTTAGTCGATTCGATAACCAGTGATATTGTATTAAAAACAAGTTGTTTATTACAAAATCGATAAATTTGATCTATATTATGATTCCTAAGAGGTCAATCAGCTGATGCAGCCTTACAAACAATGATATGGATCGATAACTAACTTATATTATAGCTCATAAAAGATCAATCAGCTGATGCAGCTTTACAAGCATAATACAAGTCGTGACGGTACTCACAAGCAAGCAGGGGGTCGATCAGTCGATGCAGCCCTGTTTGCTGAAGAACTCGCCGAGATCTACAGTACTCCTACTCCTAATGCAATGGTGAAAGTCGAAAAGATTGTGTTGATTGATTGTTCATGTCCTTGTACAATAACTGGGGTTCAATATTTATACCTGTAATCTAAACATGAGTCCTACTCAAATACGATTTGGTACAATTTGAAATAAAAAGAAAAACTTCCTAACTTAATAACGTGGACCCCAACTTTCCCTTCTTCTGTAGAGCCCGACATATCTCCCTTGACGCCATCCAAATGTATTCCATTGACGATGTCTGCTGACGTCATCTAAAAAGAGCTGATCCCGACACCTCATCTAAATCAGTTGATACCGATTCTCATGTAATCGATCCCTTAACGACATAATCTTGAAAGCTTCAAGTTTTCGCGTTCTTATTTCCAAATTTTGGTGTAAACAGCAACACAGGCAGTGGCCTAGTGCCTTCGAACACAAGGCCCCCACACTTTGTAGGCCTCCTTTTGTGACGGTCGAGATCAAGGGCCTCAGTGGTCTTCGTCGACGGGCTTTGTAGGCCTCATTTGGGCTCACCATGTATTTTAGTTATTTCAAAAACCAATATCACCATCGACTTTGACCAATGATAGATGAAAATGGTAATGACGAGGGTTTTCAAACAGTCCTGACGAGCTCTTTGTAGTAGTGATCCTGACACCTACGTCAAGTTTCTAAATTATGGTTTACCAATTATATTATACAGTCTCAGGTTTTGTTTTTTTTAGATAATCGATGGGCAGAGAGAATCCCCAATACTTCCTGCCTACCAAATAAACATTTTAAGTTGATCCAAGTCAAACTATTCTCACAAGGATAATCAATCAGGTGCTCTCCCACCTACGATGTGCTCCCATGGCGAGGTTGCACCACAAGCATGTATGAGAAAATCCAACTGGATAGGACATAGGAGTAGAATGCATTATCATTGTAAAATTTTTGAAATGTAGCAGAATACATACCATAAACAAAAGTGAAAATCAATATTTGAATAGTAGCACATTACTGCGAGTAAAAAATGAATAGTCAAAATCATATTCTAATTTGACATCACTCGGCAAATGCAGCACCAAATTATACTCTGATCAAACCAATCATCACGGTATTTTGTTTCGTCAACGCGCAAGTGATATTCAGGAACCATACAGATCACAAGTGACTGACACAAGATTTGTCCTAAAACCACTACTAGATCAGCCTGTAGGGATGCCATTGTATGACAATGAAAGTTGAAAAATAATGAATCTAGTAGAGTAGTATACAGCGGCCATGAATTAAATGTATGAGACTAAAGCTGACGCCGTTCACACATTCATTCGTCATTGCTTCTACAAATCTGCTTGTGACACCAGTACGTGCACACATGACTGAATGAGACTTTTTTTTTTAATGTTGACTGAATGAGACTTGAAAGACAATGAATCCCATTAAGTAGCAGTACAGCCCACTTATATTAGCTATCCAACACCAAACTCTACTGCTATCCAGACAATCAGGCGTAGTACACATGCTCGCCGTACGCCGCTCCCCAAGTCCACGCCGCCGCCGGATGCCCCGAGCTCACCATTGTGCTCCCAGTGTAGGCAGCACCAGGAGATGCAACTGGCATCAGCTTGTAACCAGGATGCCCAGCGCCTACTACGGGTCCGGTCACGCCATGAGTTTGCATGGCAGCGCCTACATCCATCTGTGGCCAATACACACCGGTACCACTGCTGCTATGATAACTCACATCCTTTGCTGGCCGTGGGGGAACCATGCCGGGTTGACCTGCTGCTGTGCCAGACCTGCGTGGTAGTACTGGTTCTCAGGGTTCGCTGCAACAGCTTCATATGTCATGCCTCCTATGACTTGCATGCAGTGCAGATCCATTTGACTGACCCCGTAGATGCTCTGAGTCAGTTCGCTGCCACTCCTGCTTGTAATTGCAGTACCCACAACTGGGACGTTGCCCATGTCGGATGTCAATATGCCCTCGGCGGCATCCCACGTCCAAACTGGAGCACTGCTGCCATTCGATGTGTTGTTCTCAGGAACAGAGATGGGTCCAGGCAATACATGAGCGGTAGGCAGAGCTGAAGCCCCCTGTGTGATGCCACACACGTTTGCAGCGTAGCTGGTCCACACGTTTCCTTGGCCATCTACATGGTATTGCCTTTGACTGTGACTCACACGATGTTCTCCCCAAGTGTAGCCAGGTAGGGACATCGTTTGAGTCGGCTCTGAATGGCTCACAGCAGCAACATGGGTGGAGTCGAGTTGCTTCTCCACTTGCTCCAACTGGTCAGATAACTCTTGCATGATTTTTAACACTAGAGAGTTGGCTTCCTGTTCAGTAAGATCTGATGCTAATGTAGCTAAACCATTTGTGCTTCCTTGGTCATAAGCAGCACTGCTCCTCCCTAGATGCTTGCTAATTTTCGCATCCTCCCGGTTCTCAGGTCCTGTTTTAATCTCAGATTTTGTAGCAGTGGAAGTATGAAGGGTTTCTTTATCTTGACTCTTAGTTTCCAATATGGACCTTGATGAATTATCAGATGATGTTGTGTGCTTCTCTGCCTGTAGCATTTGCCTGGGATTCTGCAGGTGCAGCTCTTTGTATTAAGGCTGATAGGAATGCCTCTCCATTTCACTTGTTTTTGCTGGCACTGCATCCTGCAAAACAGTGCTTTGATTCACAGATGGCTGGTTTGGAGCAGGTATTGCCATGCAGTTCACCCCACCAGCCTCAGGCCTTGGCTCTTTAACTTCTGTGCACATGATACTGTCACCCCCATGGGGCTCCTTGGCATGCTGTTCATCATGCTGATTCTTTCCCGATTGCTTTGTCTGTGTAGGACTAGCACAGCTATTTGTTGTATCATAATCCACTTCCTTGGCAACTGTTTTCTCCTGATTCACGGATGCAACTGAAGCATCCACAAGCACTATGCTCCCCACAGTAAAGCCTCTAGCCAAAGCAGCCTGCATGGTGATTATAGAACTGTTGATAACAACGCCTGATACAGGAGCTTTACGCAAACCAGATGTTTCTGTATTCTCAGTTCCAAACACACATGGTGACACAGGTCTGTTCTTGCTTTTTGTTGAGAGGCCCACATGAGGTTTAGCTTCAGCATTTTGTGCGTTCACATGAGTCCCAGAAACAGTTGTAATATCTTCTGTGCTTTCAGCTATGTTTGACCTCTCCCTTAGAACTCTCTCCAGTGGATAAACTTGCCTTCGCCTATTCTCCATCTGCAAACGCTTTGGAGAACTGTTCTCGTGTGACTGTGATGCATTTCTCTGGGCAATGTGTTCCATCATGCTGTTTTCATTGTTCTTTGCTGAAGGTATGACATTATGAATCAAAGACACATTATGAATCAAAGACCCTTTGTTGACACCTGCAGGTCCTGATGCTGGAGTGCAGCCCCTTCCATGTGAATGAACTTGCCTTCTCTTTTCCTCCATCTGCAAATGCATTGGAGTTGGAGTCCTGCTTTCATTTGAGCGTGACACGCCTTTTGGGTCAATTTGTTCCATAATCTTGATTTCAGTGTTCTTGACTGGGGAAATGGTGTTCGGAATCAAAGGACTTTTGTTAGCATCTGCAGTGTCTGATGCTGGAGTGGAGCCCCTTGAAATACTCTCCTGTTTATGAACTTGTCCGTCCCTATCCTCCGTCTGCAAATGCTTTGGAGCACTACTATCATGTGACTCTGCTTCAGTTTTCTGGGCAATGTGTTCCAGCATGCTAATGTCAGTTTTCTTGGCTGCACACATCACATTCTGAGTGGAGCTGATAGCAGCTGCAGTATTCTTCGCGGCATTTGGTCTTGGAGGCATATTAAGATTCTCAGCATAGACAGTACATGTATCTGATACTGAGGCATCATGACTACTAGTTCTACTGCTTCCAGCATTTTGTTTACATAGATTTTTGTTTGTTTCTTGTGGCACATCATTCGACATCTGATTCTGTACAAACAAACATCTCTTCAGTTCCAATTTTGCATTAGCTTTTGCCTTTTGTTGAAGTTTTCCCCTCTCCTCCTCCTGCAGTTGTTTTGGATGCTGTGCAGACAATTCTCTCCTTGAAAGCTGAATGATGAACCAAATAAACATAGTTAGCAACAAAAATAAATAAATAAATACAAGATTCTTGGAGACATGACACATCACTAAGACTTGTCTGTGCTGTTTGCCCATTTTTCACATTTTATTTATGTACAAGCGTCACTCTTTTTGGTACTCTTTTAAGAAATTTGGCAGCAACGGAAATGGAGCAACCTATAATGAAAAGGATGCACCTAAATAGGATGTGTGGAAAACTGTAGGAAAAGAGTCCAACCAAGTTCAACTTCTACAGGACAAGCATTAAATCTTAACATCATAGATGAATATATCAAGTAGAAGCATTCCTAGAAGCAACAGAAATATCTTTTTATATTTTATGATTGATTAGCATGGCATTTCATTTCAATGTAAACTGGTCTCCCAATTGCAACACAGTTTGGTGACCATGATACCATGATATGAAATCAACTATTCCTAATCGAGTATTAGACAACACTTAGTTGACAAAGGAAGAAAATAACATGGCATCACACAACATGACAATTGGGTACCTCAACGTCATGACCAGGAGAGTTAACCATATCATCAACAGCTCTCCCCCTGCACCTGCAAAGAAGTGCCCTCAGGAAATGATTGATCTTGATAAGTATCTGTCCTTACAACTGGCAAAGAGTCAGCTGTAGAGTGATCTTTCCATCCATGTCCAGGCATGCTAAATGAAATATCCTCAGCAGAACTACCATGCCTGTTTCTTGATGCATTCGATCTGGCATATACATGGTAATCAGCAGCAGATTCACCTGGTGCATCATTTGATTTCAGACTATGTACAAATGGACGTGTGCTCAATGTTAGGCAATAGAATATGCCGCAGCCCCTTACCATATGCTGCGGCATTTGTAGACATAATTAGTAGATGTAAATCAAGGATTAGTTACTATATTTAGTAGATGTAAATCAAGGGAATTACCCTTGCCTTGTAAAGCAAGGCCAGCCGGCCCTATATAACAGAAGGCGCCCCCTCCTATTGAGGTGTGGCCAATTGCCTCCCAATTCTATCTTTCTACATGGTATCAGCAATCCGGGTCTCGATCTGATCTCCCGGCCCCTCTCCACCTTCTGCCCAGACCTCCTGCGCCCCCCCACCCCCTGCCATGGACACCACCGCAGCCATCTCCTCTACCACCAGCGGCGTCCTAGGGGCCGACTCTGCCCCCGCCATCTGCCCCTTCGCCACCATCAACATCAAGCTCCACGTCCCCATGACCCTTGAGTTGAAGCCCTCCAACTTCACCAAGTGGTCGACGGCGTTCCAGGCCACGTGTGGGAAATTCGGGCTGCTGCACCATCTCGCCACCGCCTCCACCTCGCGCCCCACCGACGAGGCCTGGACGCAGGCTGACTTCTGCGTCCGCGGATGGATGTACAGCACCGTCTCCGACGCCGTCCTCAACCTCGCCATGACCGACAACACGCAGACGGCGAGCGCCCTTTGGACGGCCATCAGCGCTGTGTTCCAGGCGAACAAAGCTCCTCGCGCCATCTTCCTGAATCACGAATTCCACTCGATGACTCAGGGGGACCTGTCCATTGACGCCTACTGCGTTCGCATGAAGGAGAAGGCCGACGAACTTGCGCGACGTCGGGCAGCCCGTATCTGAGCCCAACCTCGTCCTCAATCTGCTGCGCGGCCTCAACGAGGTCTACTCCACCGTCGCCGACACCATCGCCGGAAAGCAGCCCCTCACCTTCGCCGACGCCCGGCACCAGCTCCTTCTCAAAGAACTGCGTCTGCACAACGAGGAGAAAGTGCGCGCCACCACCGCCCTCCTGGCTGCTGCCTCCTCTCCTGGTGGTAACCAGCGGCAGCAGCAGGGCGGTAACCAGCAGCAGCAGCAGGGCGGCAGGCGGCCTAACACCAAGAAGGGCGGCCAGCAGCCCTTCCCAAACTCCTACGGCGGCTTCTCCAACACCTCCGGCAGCACCAGCACCAACAAACGCGTTCCCTGGGGCTTCAATCCCTGGACCGGCGACCGTGTGGCCCCTGGAGAGCGCGTCACCCCTCCTGGACAGCGCCGCCAAGGAGGTCTTGGCGCCCCTGGAGGTCCTGGTGCCCAGGCTGGGCGCAACCAGAGCATCCTCGGGCCTTCCCCGCAGGCCCACACCGCCTTCGCTCCGCTCCAGGCGTCCTCCGGCGGCTCCAACACCTCCACCAGCACCTGGGATGCAGCCGGCCTCATTGCTGCTCTGCAGAACATGCAACTGCAGGGCAACTCGCCCTGGGTCGTTGACTCCGGCGCCTCCACGCACATGACGTCCTCGGATGGTATGCTTACCCAACGCCTCCCCCCCTCCATCTCCTCAATAACAGTAGGTAATGGCACTAGCATTCCTGTTACGTCTAGAGGTCATTCCGTCCTTCCTACACCTACAACAAATTTCGCTCTTAACAATATTCTTGTCGCACCATCCATAGTCCGCAACCTGTTATCCGTCCGTCAGTTCACTCGCGACAATAGTTGTTCCTTTGAATTTGACGCACATGGTTTTTCTGTTAAGGATCTCAGGACGGGACGCATGATTCTCCGCTGTAACAGTGACGGGGACCTATACACCATGCCTGCCGGCACACCTGTCGCCCCATCTCATGCTCTCTTGGCTGCTTCGTCGACACTGTGGCATCAACGTCTCGGCCATCCAGCCCCTGCTGCATTAGAACGTCTTAATAAAATTCATGCTGTTTCCTGTAATAAAGTGGACCGCTCCCTATGTCACTCATGTCAGTTAGGCAAGCATACACGTCTACCCTTCAGTTCCTCGCATTCCATAACTCATGCACCCTTTGAACTTGTTCACTGTGATGTATGGACTTCCCCCATCAACAGTCTGTCTGGTTTTTCATATTACTTGGTATGTTTGGATGATTATAGTCACTACTGTTGGGTTTTTCCGCTCCGAAAAAAATCTGAGGTCCACCAACACGTAGTCGAGCTTGCTGCGCTTGCCAAAACACAATTCAGTCTTCCCCTAAAATGTGTTCAGGCCGATAACGGCACTGAATTCATCAACACCGCCACCACCAAATTCCTCGCTGCTCAAGGCACTCACCTCCGCCTCTCCTGCCCCTACACATCACCCCAAAATGGCAAAGCCGAACGCATCATCCGCACACTCAACAATTCCATTCGTACTATGCTCCTTCATGCCTCCCTGCCGCCCACATATTGGGCTGAGGGGCTCCTAACAGCCTGCTACCTCCATAATAGGCGCCCATCCTCCTCCATTCAGCATGAAATTCCCTACACTCGACTGCATAACCAGCCACCAACCTATAGTCATCTGCGTGTTTTTGGGTGCCTCTGTTACCCCAACATGCAAGCAACCTCCAAACATAAGCTCGCCCCTCGCTCCACAGCATGCGTCTTCCTCGGATATCCCCCCTCGCACAAAGGTTACCGCTGCCTCGACCTATCGACCCGTCGCATCATCATCTCTCGCCATGTCATATTTGACGAAACCACTTTTCCCTTTGCAGCCACCTTAGACACCTCCTCCCCCGCTTCCCTCGACTTCCTCCTCGACGACGATATGGTTTCGGTGCCTTGCCCTACTGTTGTTGCAGGTGGGACTCTCTCCTCGACGCCTGTGGAGCAGCCGCCCTCAGACGTTGCGGCATCGCCTTCTTCGCCACCGGGCGGGCGTGGTCACGTGCCCCCGCCTGGACCCAGCGTGGTTCCCTTCCCACGGGTCTACGTCCGCCGCTCCCGTACGACGACTACGTCCGAGCCGGCCGCTGCCCCAGCAGCCCCTGCGGCTCCTGACGCCCCGGCACCACCTACGGCGCCCTTACCAGCACCGGCGGCATCTCCTGCTCCGCCACCGCCACCGCCGCCGCGTGTCACCCGCACCATGACGGGTGCCATCCCTCGCGTCAACTATGAAGGGCTGGCGGCCACAACGTCATCCTCCCCATCGCCGATTCCGACGAACTACCGCAGCGCGCTGGCCGACGCCAACTGGCGTGCCGCGATGATGGATGAGTACCAGGCCCTCGTCGACAACAACACCTGGCAGCTCGTTCCGCGGCCCCCCGGCGCCAACGTCGTGACGGGGAAGTGGATCTTCCGGCACAAGTTCCATGCCGATGGGTCCCTCGCCCGCCACAAGGCTCGCTGGGTTGTCCGAGGCTTCTCCCAGCGTGAGGGCGTCGACTACGACGAGACCTTCAGCCCGGTTGTCAAACCGGCCACCATTCGGTCTGTACTTAGCATCGCCGCGTCCCGCGCCTGGCCGATTCATCAGCTGGACGTGAAGAACGCTTTTCTTCACGGCCACCTCGAGGAGACCGTCTACTGCCAGCAGCCGCCAGGATTTGTCGACCCTGGCGCCCCAGACTACGTCTGCCGTCTGCAGAAGTCCTTGTATGGACTGAAGCAGGCTCCACGGCTTTGGTGCGGCCGCCGCCACCTTCATCCGGCAGCTCGGCTTCGTCACCTCCGCCTCCGACACGTCCCTTTTCATTCTACGAGAGGGGACGAGCCTCTCCTACCTACTACTGTACGTCGACGACATCGTTCTCACCGCCTCGTCCTCGGCTCTGCTTCAGCGCATTATGGCTCGGCTGAGCTCCGAGTTCGCCATGACGGATCTTGGCGCCCTCCACCACTTCCTCGGCATCACTGTCACACGCTCCTCAGATGGCCTCTTCCTCTCCCAGCGACAGTACGCTGTCGAGCTTCTTCAGCGCGCGGGCATGGCTGAGTGTCATCCGACCACGACACCTGTTGACACTCACGCCAAGCTATCCGCGGCCGACGGGATCTATCTGTCGAGAGAAGGACGATCCGAGTCTGTGGGAGCTTGGCGGGGCTCTCCAAGACCTAACCCCGACTCGTCCGATCGGCATATCTTTGTTCAACAAAGTGCTACAACTTTCCTTACAAGAATATACAGCCCCCATCCCTTTTCTCTGGATTTGGAACTCCAAATGTCTGTAACAAACTTCGAGTTTTTTCGTGGCTCCTCTTGATGGATGGTGAACACAAGGAACATTACGAGAAGGAAAAAGCACAAGCTTCAGTGGAAACAACTACAATTGTGTCCTATGCAGCAACAACATTGAAGAAACCGCATTTCATTTGTTCTTCACCCCCTTTACCCAAGCACTGTTGGCAACACCTTGGTATAAATTGGGACTTCACAATGGATTTCTTCCGGATGATGCACGCAAGCCAAGGCTCAACATAACAACCCCTTTTTATGGAGACCTTCATCATTGCCACTGGCGATTTGGAAGCAGAGAAACAACTCTATATTTGTGAGGCCGGCCATCCTTTGATTCTTGAAAAGCTCCTTCTATGACGAAGTTAGGCTCTGAGCCCATAGATTCGATTACGCTAAGCGCTCTGTCTTCCTTTCTTGTCTGTTTGCTCTAGTTTAGCTCTTTGCGCCGCCTCGGGCTTCCTTCCCTTTTTTGTTATCTCTTGTATAGAGTTGCTGCTTCTTTTGTTTAAATAAAAAGTTTACAGTGGGGGCCTCCCCTGCTGTATTTTCCGCTCAAAAAAAAACAGGTGTGCCTCTTCATGCACGCTCCGCGTGAGCCTCACCGTGCGCTCATCAAGCGCATCCTACGCTTCGTACAGGGGACTCTCTCCTCGGGTCTTCACATTGGCACCGGTCCTGCCGACAAGTCGACCGCCTACTCGACACCTTGACCAGGCAGGTTGTCTGAGACTCTCGACGATCCACCTCCGGCCTGCGTCTATCTCGGTGACAATCTGGTTTCTTGGTCCTCAAGCGCCAGACCACGGTGTCCGCTCGGCCGAGAGGCGAGTATCGGCCGTGGCTCACGTTGTGGGCTGAGTCTTTGTTGGCTTCAACAGATTACTCCAGAGCTCCACTTCGGTGCCCTCACCACCGTTGTCTTCTGCGACAACGTCAGCGCCGTCTACATGACAGCCAACCCCGTCCACCACAAGCGAACGAAGCACATTGAGATCGACATTCACTTCGTCCGCGAAAAGGTGGCCCTCGGTGAGATTCGGGTTCTCCATGTGCCCTCCTCTCACCAGTTCGCCGATATCATGACTAAAGGGCTTCCGACAGCACTCTTTCGAGAATTTCGATCCAGTCTTTGCGTCAGGGAGCCTCCGGCTACGCAGAATCATGCAAGGGTGTTAGGCAATAGAATATGCCGCAGCCCCTTACCATATGCTGCAGCATTTGTAGCCATAATTAGTAGATGTAAATCAAGGATTAGTTACTATATTTAGTAGATGTAAATCAAGGGAATTACCCTTGCCTTGTAAAGCAAGGCCAGCCGGCCCTATATAACAGAAGGCGCCCCCTCCTATGGAGGTGTGGCCAATTGCCTCCCAATTCTATCTTTCTACACTCAAGACTTCTGGTTTGGCAATGAATGTTGCCTTATGTTCGATGTTTTCATTCTCCATCTGTAGTTGTTTTGCATATTTGGTAGAAGACTCTCTCCATCTTGAATGCTAAATGAACCAAATAAACAGAAGTTACAATAACACAAATATAAGATTCAGGGACAATGGACACCTCAGGTCCTTCTTTCACTTTGCTTGCCTGCTTTTAGTTCTTTTTGTTTATATGCATGCATAACTTTCAAGATACTCAACAAACACTGTACATGTAGTAACACTGTATAGGAAAGACTAGCTTTTGGAGGATAGACATCAATGTTACCATTGATATTGATAAACTTATTGAATAGAAGAATTTCTTAACACAAACATCTCTTCATATTGTATGTTTGAATGCTACGCTAACTATGGCATTTAAATATCAATTGGTCTCCTCATAATAACAAAACAGTTTTGTGGCCTTGATACTGTCATAGAAAAGCATGTATTCCTGGACAAGTACAAGATATCATTTAATTGACAATAGTAGAAAATAGCATGGTATCAGACAAAGTGACAATTTCGTACCTCAATTTCATAACGAGGAGAATTAAGAATATCATCAGTTGGCGCATGCCCTTGCTCAGAGGTGTTCCAAGGAAAAGATTGGTCTTGATGAGAATTTGTCATAACTGGCAAAGAGTCAACTGCAGGGTGACCTTCCCATCCATGTCTCGAAATGTTAAATGGAATATCCTCAGCACAATCAAGCTTGTTTATCAAAGCACTCCATCCTCCATATACATGGGAATCACAGGATTTACCAGGTGCATCATTTAACTTCTGGCTTTGTACAAATTCCAGTTTTGCAATAGACTTTGCCTTTTGTTGACTTTTTCCCCTCTCCTCTCCCTGTAGTTGTGCATTTTGAGCAGACAACTCTCTTCCTGAATGCTGAATAAATCAATTAAACAAAATTTCAAACAACAAACACTAAGATTTATGGATATAGGGCAGTTAATTCGTCCTTTTACAATGTTGCTTGCTCACTTTTAACATTTTATTTATTTATGCCAAATTCTTGAGTATTACGTTCAGAAATTAGGAAGCAATACAAGTGGAGTAATAATAAGGAAATGAACATGACTAAATAGAACATGTAAGAATTACACTATATAGGACGAGTGCATATTTTGAAGGATATGCATCAAACTTAACATGGATACAGATGAATTTACATTTATATAGAGTAAAAGCCATGCATGCAAGCAACAGAAACCTCTCTTTACATGTCTAGGTACTAACTCAGTATATCTCATACTAACAAAATTACAAAACATTTCAGTGACCCTGATTATGTTAAAGGAAAAGTGTATTCCTAATCAAGTGCGACACAATATTAACAATACTGGTGGAAAATTACATTGCAACATGCAAAATGGCAATCAAGTACATGGATTTCATAAGGAGGAGATTTCAGCATTATATTAGCAGTTCTCGCATGCACCTGCTGTGAGCAGTTCCCAGCAAATGGTTGATCTTCATGATAATTTGTTGTAGTGACTGGCAAAGAGTAAACAGTAGAGTGTTCCTTCCATCCATGTCCCCAGATATTAGATGCAGTGTCCGTAGCTGAACTGCCACAGAGGTTTGTTGATGTATCCGCTACTCCATATACATGATTATCAGCAGAGTTGCCCATCTTTTTAAATTCACTGAATTCAGTAACATGTCCTTCTGACAGATCAGTCGTTACAAGAATAGCAGACATATTTGATGTACCAACCAACACATGATTACATCTTTCAGAAACAGAATTATGTATATCAAAGGCAGAGGTGATATAACTGGTGGCAGCGCTAAAGGGAACATCATTTGCTACATGATCTGCTTTTAAATTGAGGCTTTTTGGGCATTCAACCTTGGATTCCTTGCACAAAGATATTTCTGGCATGTTACGGGCACAAAGATTTCTAGCTTTGATGTTTAGACACTTAATTTTCTCTAACAGTGCCACATTCTTCTTGATGACAGGTTGCTTCTCAAGTGCATCTGAATGGTTACCTTTGATCTTTCCAAGTATGACAATTTATTCTCTAACAGTGCCACATCCTTCTCGATGACAGGTTGCTTCTCAAGTGCATCTGAATGGTTATCTTTGACCTTTTCAAGTATGAGATGAGGTAAACTTTTGACAAAAGTATCAACAGGCACATTAGCATAACAGGAATCATTGTTTTTTGGGTGATAAACACCATGTGGACCATGCCTTTCTTCTCCCCCCTGGTTCAGAACGGATTGACCATCATGAGTAAATGATTCAACAGGGAAGCTGACAGTCTTGTCTGCAGGATTGCACGGACCATATGATACCACTCCTCCGAGACGAATTCCATTCCTGTCAGGAGGATGATCAGGAGGAGGATGCCAGTAATCAATACATGGAGGCGGCATACATATATCAGGAGTTTGTGTAGCATGTAGTTGAGCCTGTTTTGGTTCCCAAGAGAAATTTGCAGTAGAAACAGGATCACCTCCTGACAAAACAAATATATCTCATCATATGGAAACGAAAGTAAAATTGTATGAAAGAAAAATTCTATGATAACCTAAGTTATGAAATATAAAATAATGGGTGAGAATCAGCGAACAAGGTGCGTACCAGTTAACAGGATCTTTCTTTGTTCATCTCGTGCCGTGATAACAACAGAGCTAAAAGATGATCGCCCTTGAAAACTATGGCCTGCAAATGAGAAGGCACCAAGTGTAAAGAACATGTGTTGTAGGTTTATTAAATAAACTATATGGAACTGACAAAGCATTTAGAACCACTAACATAAATTTATCAAGAATACAGTTTATTGTAGGGAAAAATTATGATTTTAGATATGTAACTGCATAAACTATAAGCAGACTTTAGGCAAGATAATCTGGTGGTACATGTAGACACCTTGTTGACCATTTGACTGAGAGTTCTTGGAATCAAGTACTGGGAAATCATCTGCACATATGGTAAACCCCTTTATGTGTGATGTAAACCTCTGCATTGGCAAAACATATTCTTGGATTAGATGTGTTCAGTTACCTGACAACGTGAATACCATATGGAATGCATACCTTTTTGGCAATAGTCCTTAATGGGGCTTTCAGAACATCCAAGAAAGAAACTTGAGAATGTGCAAATTTCCAGCTTCCTGATCTTAATTCTGTGCTTTGAGAACGGCTTATCGCAGTTACAGAATCATGTGAAGCTAGACCACAAGCAACAGGTGAGTCGAGCAAGTCATTTTCATCTGTCGACGTGCTTGAGCTTCCTGAAGAAGAGGGGCGGTCATTGATGTTCAAAAATGACCCAGAACCTTCACCCTTCTTGAGAGATAGGAGTGATGATGAACCCCATGCATTTGGTGCTGGAGGCATTGGCCTGTTGACCCATGGGAGAGCACCCCTGCATCCATTCCAACATCCCATAAGATAGCAAAATATCACCAACAGGGTACAGGGAAACGGTAAAAAATGTCTAGATCAGGAAAAAAAAAAGATCCTCATGACTCAATACTATTCATGCATTAAAGCCAACATGACTACTGGACACAATTCAGAATTAAGGGGATATTGCTAAACAGCAATCACAGGGAAACAGTCAAAAATTGTTTAAACTAGTATTTAGTATTTACCCAGACAATACACACAAGGGATCCCAATGGCGGCTTAAAGACTACCATTTTGACACTGAATCAACACGGCTTATGCATCTAAGCCAGCATAGTTACTTGACAAAATCGGGACCATTATTTCAATCAAGGGACAAAAAATACGAAAGCATACATATGACTAACCCAACTTACTTTATTTTACTTAACAGTAGTGCAAAACTAACTGTGCCACCATCCATCAACAATAAGAATCATTGTCAAGTTATATAAACACATAAATATTGGAAAGGGAACAACCGACTCTGGAATGAAACCCCAGTGGGTGATAGTGATGAACACAATTTAAAACCCCCAAATCAACTAGGAATGGCATCTCCAGATGATGATTTACGCCGGGGAAAAGAAATGTCACCTCTGGGTTGGCAAGTTAGTGGGCTTCGGGGCCGCCTCAACAACCCCCGCGGCCGGCGGCCTCCCCGGAGCAGCAGCAGCAGCAGCAAACCCCCACCTGCAGAGATAAACCCTAAACCCTTGTAGTCGAGGAGCACCAACTGAACCCAATGGAAATACAAGGAGATACAAATGGGAAGAAGAATAAGGAGGCGAAGCGGATGCGACCTCTTGTTGGCGGCGAGTGCCCGCGACGGTGCCGCGGCCATGTCTTCCCCGCTACTTCGGGGTTCGGAGCCGCGCGCGGAGGGGAACCCGGGACGGCGCGGGCGAAGGTGGAGGCGAGTTGCGGGTGGCACGGGATGGGTAGGGGGTTGCTGGAGACGGAGGCGACGGCAGGAGGAGCGTGGGTGTCGACGGCGGCAGGGGAGAGGCGGATACAACAGAGGACGAAGGGAAAGTTCCAGCAGTGGAGACGTGGAGTGGAACGGCGAGCAGCGGAGAGGGGTGTCTATGACAAGTAGGCCCCACTGAATGGTCGGAGACGGATGGGATCGCGGGAGACTGGGACACATTGTCAACGACGGACGAGGTGTCCATGACAAGTGGGCCCCACTGAATGGTCGGAGACGAACGCGGGAACGCTGGAGACCAGGACACATTGTCAGTGACTCTAGAACGAGCGACACGACCGCTGCAGAAAATCCTCTTGATTTTGTGCAAAATTTAATCGTCTGTTGCTTTGAACTCATGTTTGCGAATATTTTTCTCAAAACTCCAAAAAAATTGAATTGACCTCGCGTATGCCAGAAAAACCCGTCAAACTAACAGAATTTAGCAGAAACTAAAAAAAATAGAACACGAAGCAACAATTCAGTATTGACCTCGTGTGGAGGAAACATCTAATTTTCAAAGAAATTTTAAAAATGTACACAGGCTTGCCATTAATTTTTGAACTACAATAGTCTGTATTGACCTCGTGTGTCGCTGAAAACCCGTTAAACAGACTGAATTTAGCTGGGTAATAAACAAAAATTAGAATGCAGACCAGGGAGTGCAATTCTACGCAAAATCCGTTGAAACAACAGAATATATAGATAAAACAACAAAAATTTCAAAGAAACACAAAAATTGTAATAAAACGAAAAAAAACACAACAAAACATAGTTGCAATTGACCACTCTCCTTGTCATGTATTCAGCACAAGAGCACACAAGATCCATCCGTCAATTCACCACGAGATCATCAGAAATTGTGGAAAAACTGATTTTAGTCATATAAACTACTACCCGGAAACTCATTTCTCCTATTGTACACCAGATTAAATAGGGAGAAAAGGGGCAGTGCACTAGATATCGTTCAACTCATTATACATCAGGAGCGGCCTGCTGAACTGCTGCGCCTGGAAATGTTTCGCCTGCAGGAAAACTGGGGAATGCAGCATCAGTCCCTTGGAAAGGCTGGCCAGCCGGTGTGCCGCCAAAGTTGTTGTCATTCCCACCACATATCAACGGTGCAGCAGCAGCTGGCTGGACTAGGCCACCAGGAGACATTGGCGACATTGAAGATGTATCGGCCAGTGATTGTTGAGGAGCGAGAGCAGGAACAGGTGGTGCTGCTGGTCCAGGTACAGGGACAGGTGCAGGTCCGGCTGCTCCAGGCAGCACATCGAAACCAGATCTTGCTCGGGGCCTGCGCTCCGGTGCTGCCCCATGGTCATGGCTCCTGCTCCTGCTGCGACTCTGGCTGCTGCTGCAGCTCCGACTACGGCTCCAGCTCCTGCTGTGGCTCCTGCTGCGTGACCAGCTCCTGCTGCGGCTCCTGCTCCTACTAATGCTCTTGCTATCACTTCTTCTGTCATAACCCCGTGACCGGACTCTATCTGGGCTGCGGCTGTAGCTCCGATCCCTACCTTTGTCTCCAAATCCTCGACGGTTATCATATCGTCCCCGTCCATCTAAGACAAACCGGTCATGTGGGCCTCGGTCAGAACGCCCCCTCCCGCCAAATCCACGCCCCCTGCCACCACGTCCACCAGAAAAATCTCCCCTACCTCGTCCACCAAAACCGGGAGAATCACCCCTGCCACGCCCACCAAATCCGGAAAAATCACCCCTGCCACGCCCACCAAAACCAGGAGAATCGCCCCTGCCACCACGTCCACCAAAGCCCCCAGGGCTTGATCCGCCTCTACTGCCAAAACCACCAGATCCACGCTCCCCTCTACCACCAAAACCACCTGACCCAGGGCCATCTCGTCCACCAAAGCCACCTGGGCCCTTTCTGCCACCAGGACCCTCCCGTTCCCGGCCACCAAAGCCACCAGGGCCCTCATGGCCACCGAAGCCACCAGGGCCTTCCCGGCCACCGAAACCACGAGGGCCAGCCCGGCCACCCAAGCCATCAGGGCCTTCCCCGCCACCAAACATGGCTGGGCTTTCTCGAACACCAAATCCACCTGGGCCCTCACGACCACCGAAACCTCCAGGACCCTCCCTGACACCACCATAACCAACAGGGCCACCAGCACCAAGTTCAAAACGACGACCACCAGGCCCATCCCAGCGGCTCATCCCAGCAGCCTGGTTTCTTGGACCTCCAGAAGCACTGCGTGCAGCCATGTCTTGCAGCTGTGGAGGGACATGCTGGTTGGCACCTTGCAAGAGTTTCACCAAATCACCAGCATATTTCCAATCTTGTTCACAGAAAAAAGTGTACGAGATACCAGTAGCGCCAGCTCTTCCTGTACGCCCTATGCGATGCACATAGTCCTCTATCCCAGTTGGAAAGTCATAATTGATTACCACTCTGGAAAAAACACATGGTGCAGTACAAGTGAGCAACAGAAATTTGTCAGTGTTCAGTAAGGTAATATTGGACATTGAAATATTTTAAGGATTTAATATCTCACAATCAAATAAGCCTCACCTGATATCTTTGATATCAAGTCCACGAGCAGCAACATCTGTGGCTACTAATATTGGAGCCCTGCCAGTTCGAAACTGATTGAGAACATTATCTCTTTCGGCCTGTGATTTATCACCATGAATGCTTACAGCATTAAAATTGCGACCAATGCTGCGAGCAAGCTGGTCACACATCTTCTTAGTCGAGCAAAATATTATGATTTTTGAGCCCCTTTCTTGATCTCTAAGAATCTGCTCTAGGCGCCGCTGCTTTGTCCATAAGGCGGAACCACCTCTACATACTGCAAACAAACAGGAGCCTTAGAAATGGATCATCCTATAAATGACCACATAATATAATTACAGATAAAGGCTGACACATAGTAATTAGGTGCCAAAGAATGCTTTTCCAAACTACTTAACAATAATAGAAATTCTGACACCAGTCAGCAATGGCACTTCAAGGACTCTGCATCCTAAAGAAAGGCAAAGCATAAAGTATGAAAAGAAACAATCATAATTTCACTAGAATACCTGAGTGATGGATTTGTTGGCAACAAGTTCATCGATGCTGCCAATGTTGACCTGGACAGGATCTCTTAGTAAATCCCCAGCTATTTTTGTAACCTCCTTTGGCCAAGTGGCAGTGTACATTAGAGTCTGTCTAGTATTAGGAATCTCATCCACAATCTTCCGTATTTGTGGCTCAAACCCCATGTCAAGCATACGGTCTGCTTCATCAAGCACAAGTAATGAAACCTGATGGAGGCTAATCTTCTTCATCTCCAGAATATCATTAAGACGTCCTGGTGTTGCTACCACAATATCTGCTCCACGCTCAAGTTCTCTTAGCTGAGGGCCCTTTGAAGCTCCACCATATAGGCACTGAAAAAGAACGCATCAATGATGATTTCAATGTAAGAAATGTGACATGTCATTAGTAAACATAGTACCAGAAATAATACACATTCTACAAGGCACTTAGGTACAGAAATCTTGAATGATCGATGCACAGCAATATTGTTCAGAACCACACGAGTTCATTTTCTAAGATAACTACTATAAAAACACGCTAGGCCTAGGTAGGTGCTCAAGCTAGCCTAGTGCCCTGATAGCCGCCTCAGCCGATCGACCTTTCTAAAGGTGAAGCTATCATAAACTTTTTGAAGAACAATACTTGAGTCTGTGACTATGTTTTAAAGTCTATACATCACAATCGACCTTTCTAAAGGTGAAGCTATCATAAACTTTTTGAAGAACAATACTTGAGTCTATGACTCTATGTTTTAAAGTCTACACATCACATTATTAACATTTGATATCCAGTAACTTAATTACTATGCATTGTCTTACAAAACAGAAAAAATGTGCACAAAGTTTCAGGACTACAATTGGTTGTGATCAATGCTTAATTATTCTATGCAAGATAAGGCCATAATAAAAGATATCAGGTCAGAACTTACTGTGCAGGAAACTCTAGATGATTGACCAAACTTAACTACTTCATCTTGTATTTGTGAAGCAAGCTCGCGAGTAGGGGCCAAAACCAATACCGTAGGACCCAACATCGGATTATTGTGGCATCTCCTCAGATGTATAAAAGCAGGAATTAGGTACCCCAGCGTCTTTCCAGACCCTGTCTTGGCAATAGCTACTATGTCCCGGTTTTGCAGTGCAACAGGCCATGTCTGAGCTTGAATTGGAGTGGGATTTGAAAAGCCTGCTGCATGGATCTGAAATGAAAAAAAAATGAATAAGCATCATAAGTGCATGCCCACCTGCAGCAGATAATTGGTATTTTCCATAGCGACTAAAAAATGGTTGCAAACAATGAGAAAGTGGTTAAATTCTATCCTAGGTGAATATGGCTGCTTACTTAAGCAACTCAAGGCATGAAGAAGCTCTTTGTTGATTCAGTGGCAGAGACAAGAAGCAGGAAGCCTCAGCCACATTTTATAATCTGAAACAACATCAATCCTCCCAATACTTGTCAGCAGAAAATAGCCACAAGTATTTCACTACAGTGCCCAGAAATGGAAAACTAATCGTTGTATTAGGGCACTCAGCATCACCGCAAATCCATTATGCTACATCAGTGAGCAATATCATACAATGTGCTCACTACGAGAGAAGATAATTTTCCATTTCAAAGATATCATTTTCAGTGGCCCACATTGTCAAGAATTTCTAAGTTAAGATAAATTTGTAGATAATTCATCCATGGATCCACAAGTACAACTAAACAAGACATACCTCTCTCAGAATCTCTGGAGGGAATCCAGTAGCCTCAAATGTCATAAACGGAGCAGGAACGTTCTCACCCTGGATAATAAAAAAATTGGAGTCAAAATATAAATAATCAACAGGTGACAGTATAAAAGAATAATAAATAAACAGGTAGCAGTCTAACTAAACAAGAAAATGAACTTGTAAACCAAGAGAAATATTCTGAAATACCCTGTTACTGAGCTATACATAAGGGAACAGGGCATACTAAAATATGTCCAACTGCAGAAGTGCACTTCTCAGGCTTTATAAGCTTTTGGTATCTCGAATGTATTTCTCTGTGCAAAACAAATTAGACTATACCTCTGTCTGGTTTTCTTGAGTGGCAGTTGGCCAGAGATGTATACATCATGCTTGCAATGTCAGATACGTGTGCCATAAAAAATATTTTTTAGTCATGTAAATGTTAGATATCAACCAGTACCTCTATTATGCAAATGGGTTATTAAATTATTCAGAGATACGGAGTACGTTAAAAACCACATGTGGAACAGCATTTCCAGAATGTTTAAGTACAATGGCAAACAGCCTCTGGAGAAATTAGAAGTTGTAAACTGTGTCTTAGTTTTGCGACAAAATATGTCCATGCAATCAACTCCTTACCATGGCAGTGACTTCATGGTGTTGACGGTATGCATCAGCTGAAGATACGCTTGGAAAATCTGGAGGAGCAAACATACTTGACGGTGGCCTCACTGAAGTTCCAATAGGCGATGGACCAAGATTATGTGGATTTGGTACTGACTGTGGAGGTGCCATGTTATAACCACCAAAATTGTCTGGACGAGGATAAGGCGGTCCATTATGCATGCCCTGCCGGAAAAGTTTACGCAAATCAGAGTGAATGGTTAGAACTTTAGAATTGAGGTTAGCATGAGCATAATATATAGAAAGCATTGAATATATCAGAAAGCTAATGGGCATTGTTGCCAACATTTTTACAAAGAGTTCCATTGATATGGTGCGGAAATATCATCAGACTTTATAATGTACAAGAAAGTTTATAGCTTATTACTGTCATGGTAGGACATAAATTTAGGCAGTATAAGGGTGAGCTTTTGGCTTCACTAAGATTTAACATTACTGTACCAAAGATTATTACCGTAGGATTTTGTGAAGTTGGGAGAGGAGCAAGCTTTGGCTGCTGCTGGAGAGCCTTTGTTCCATCAAACCTTCCATAAGAGTGAGGGTCATCTCTTTCAGAGTGACCATCACTATTACCCATATCAAAACCCATTGGAGGTCGAATTGGTGATGGACCAACATGATTTGGAACTGCATGGCCACTAACTGTTTTTTGCTGGTAGTTTGTATCTGCTCCACCTTGATGCATTTGAGCAGGTGAGTTCATAAAACCCATGTTATTAATCTCAGCAGAGGATGATCCACCAGGAAGATGCTTGGCAGGATACAACGGCCCACCAACTCCAGGTATATTTGGCTGGCTACTAAGGGCTCCAGGATGTTGATGACTAGAAGGTAACTGCTGATTTGGAAGAGGAGCCTGGCCACGCTGCTGACTAAGTGGTAATGAAAAGACAGTCCGCTTGCCTTCATGAACTCCTCCATCATCATCCTTCAATAATGGACTTTGTTGCCCAAGTGGCAGTGGCGGTTTTCCATGCTGAGTGAACGGCAATCCATGCTGCAGTTGACCTTGTTGAGATGGCATTTTAAGTCCTTGAGGTTGAGAAACCTGCGGTGACTGCGAAGCTTGGGCAGGGTGGTGAAAGCTCAAAGATTGTTGAGGATGTTGCCCTTGACTCTGAGGAATCCTAACTCCCTGCGGCTGCTGGCTTTGATTATAAGCACCATGTGGAATTTGAGGCTGCTGAGCTTGATTGTAGGCAGACTGTGGTATCATGGATTGCTGACCCTGATTGTAGGAAGGTTGTGGCATCGGTGGCTGCTGAACTTGACCTTGATTGTAGGAAGGCTGCGGCATCGGTGGCTGCTGACTCTGACCTTGATTGTAGGAAGGTTGCGGCATCGGTGGCTGCTGACTCTGACCTTGATTGTAGGCAGCTTGCGGCATTGGTGGCTGCTGAGCTTGATTATAGGCAGTTTGTGGCATGTGTAGCTGCTGGTCTGCCTGATACGAATATGGTGGAGCCTGCTGTTGCTGCTGATGTTGCATGTAAGGACCATGCTGATACGGCATGTGTTGAGGATGCACACTGTGGTACTGATGCGGCTGATTTGGCATGTGCGTCTGCTGTTGCTGATATGGCACTTGCTGAAACGAAGCTTGGTGTTGAGCCATGACATGCTGCTGAGCTGGCTGTTGAGTGTGCTGCTGCCCAAGCTGGCCAGCCTGAGGAGGATAAGCTGCCTGGCCAGGACGCTCCTGGTGCCCTGCCTGGCCAGCTTGGCCAAACTGCACGTTAGGCTGCGAAAAAGCCCCTGGTGCAGGTTCCGGAACCTGCGCAGGGGTTGGCGGCAGAGGACCTGCTGGCAAGGGGGGCACCCCTGCAGTTGCAGCAGGCTTCTCATACTGGGTCACATTCGTCTCTGGGTTCCAATAGTACAGCGTCGCGCCATCAATCAGCGCTTTCCAAGGCGCAGGAAGCGTCGGGTCATCCGGAGCGAACCGAGGGCCCGAAGAATCAGCTGCGGCGGCCTCCTGAGCCGCCATGCCAGGCAACTCTTCTTGCCCCCTCCTTCTAATGGCTCACCACCTACGCTGCGACCATAACGCAAATGCCCTGCAAACCAGTAAAATTCAGGGGGGGCGGAACCAGTTAAGGAAACTCGATAATTTTTTGCAAGAAAAAACTAAGCATTATAGATGCATAAGGTTGCAATTAGAACAGATCGGGAGACAAATAGCCAGATAGCTTAGGTTAGGGTTTGGGCGCCCGGTCCCGCGCAGCAGGAAGGGAAGAGAAGGGCTGGCGTACTTGGAGGGTGCTCGTCGCCGGCGAGGGCGGTTACGAAGACCTGGCGACGGGCGCTACGAAGACCTCGGCACCTGGCGTAGCGCGGCGGTGGCGGCGCTAGCCCAATCGTCGCCGAGAGGGAGAGGGAGAGCGCACACGGGGTGAAACGGGGGGAGACTAGAGACGGAAGTGTCGCCGGTGGGCCGCCCTGGGCCGTATCTCAATCCGCAAAAGCCTTTAAGATAATTTTCCTTTTTCACTTTTGTTTTGTGTCTAGTCCCGTTTTTTTTTCTGGTAAAAAGCTTTTGTCTTTAGTCCCGTTGCGGGTTTAGGGTTTTATGTCAAGTTTGTTCCTTATTTGTCTTCGTACAAATATTAGGAAGAAGAAAGTTTTTAATAAGGAATATAAATTATTATTTAGAAAGAATTAAGTTTGTTCTTTCTTTCTCCTTTTTATTCTTCCTATATATTTCCGTATCATATTTTTATTTTGTGGAACACTGTCAATGCTACTGGAACATTGGTTGTATTACCGGATTTTTCTCTTGAAGCTAAACCTTTCTTTTGAGCCTAGAACAATTTATATGAAATTGAAATAACTTGTAATATTTTTTTTTGTTAAACATTGATTCGTTCAATAAAAAATGTCATCAGGAAATCTATGGCTTTCATGCTCCAAGATTTTTTATGTTCTCCGCATGGTGGAATCATTGGTAAATTAATGAGAACTACTCCCTCCGTCCCATTGAGTTTGTCGTTGGAAAACCGTGTCCCCCTCACAATCCCGCTTCCCGAGCGACAATCTTAACGGGACGGAGGGAGTAGCAAATATGCATGTGCGGGCATCGGGATACATAGATAGATATAAAATATAAATTAATTAAGATATACTCCCTCCATCCTAAATTATAAGTCATTCCAAGAATCTTGGAAAGTCAAACTTTTTCAAGTTTAACTAAAATTATAGAGAAAAACACAAAGATTGATGACATCAAATAGGTATAATATGAAAATATAACTAATGAAGAATCTAATGATACTTACTTGGTATAATAAATATTATTATTTTGTTATATAAATTTGGTCAAACTTGAAAAACTTTGACTCTCCAAGATTCTTGGAATGACTTACAATTTGGGATGGAGGGAGTAGATATAGATATAGGCTGGATAGTTTTTTCCTGTCACTACTGGAAACTCAAATTGTTCTGTGGGTGAAGAATTTTTCTGTGCGTTTTTTTCGGCACGCACAGAAACATTATGATTATTCTGTCGGTTTTAAAATATCCCGATAGAAAAATAAAAAACCCGACATAATAATAAAATGATTTTTCTGTGTGTGACAATACACACACGGAAAAAATCAGCACTCACAGAAAAATGCAACTTATTCTGTCGGTTCCTTGAAAACGCACAGAAAAATACATACACGCACACGAAAATCCTACTTGATAAACCGGCCCATGCGCCGCTCCGAGCACCCCGCCCTTCTCTTCCCCAGCGCCCCTCCCCTCCCGGCTCCAGCGCCCCTCCTCTCCCTTCTTCCCATGGGCTCCCAGCCCCAAGGCCCCTTCTCCCATGAGCGCCCGCCCCCCCGCTTCTTCTTCCCCGACAGTGGCGCTCCTCCTCCCCTTCTTCACCCCGGCCGGATCCGGCCCTCCTCTCCCGGATCCGGTGGTGGTCATGGTGGTGGTGGTGGTGGACCATGGGGCGTGGTGGTGGCGGCCCTCCCTCCCCTTCTTCTCCCCACCGACGCCCCTCCCTCACCCTTCTTCTTCCCCAGTAGTGCCCTCCCCTCCCCCATCTTCACCCCGCTGGATCCGGCCCCCTCTCCCGGATCCAGCCAGGTGGGCTGCATGGTGGTGGTGGTGGTGGTGGTGGTGGTGACAGGCGTGGTGGTGGTGGCGGCCCTCCCTCCCCCCTTCTTCTCCCCACCGGCGCCTCCCTCCCTCCCCTTCTTCTTCCCTGAGTGCGCCCTCCCCTCCCTTCTTCTTCTTCACCCGGATCCGGCCCTCCCTCTCCCGGATCAGTGGGTGGCTCTGATGGTGGTGGTGGTGGTGGTGGTGTGGCGGGCGTGGTGGTGGCGTCGGCCTCCCTCCCCTTCTTCTCTCCCACGGCGCCCTCCCTCCCCTTCGTCTTCCCGGTGGTGCCCCCCCCCCCCTTCTTCACCCCGGCGGATCCGGCCCTCCCTCTCCGGATCCGCCGGTGGGCTGCGGTGTTGGTGGTGGTGGCCGGTGGTGGGGGCGTGGTGGTGGCGTCGGCCCTCCCTCCCCTTCTTCTCCCCTGGCGCCCTCCCTCCCCTTCTTCTTCCCCCCAGGCGCCCTCCCGCCCTCTTCTTCACCCGATTGGATCAGACTGATTTCTCTATTGTGTGGTTGCAGGCTATTATAGATGAGTCACGCGGGATGTTGGCTCCTGCCGTCCTGGGAAGTTGTTCTTGACTCCAACGAACGGACGATTGTCGATTTCCTAGTTGTTGATTTTCTTTACTGGGATTCTTCCCTTAGTTTCACCGTGACGGATGTGCTCTTTCTCTCCGAAGAGTTTTTGCAAAGAACTAGCTCTTTGGCATCCAAAGTGTCCTTGTTTAGGGTAATTAAAATTTGTTTGGGTTATAGCTTGAGGGTCTACATACCCGGCTTTCAGACTTGGCATTTGTTTGACAATGTGCACTTGCATTCTACAAATCACGGCGTGGGTTAGTTACAACAAAATTCAAAGATTACATTCATATCATATCGGGAGGACAAGGACTTACAGGCACCACCATGCGAATTAGATTCATCTCCATCTCTCCTAGGTGAAAGCATGTTTGCATGTCATTGAAGTCAAAGACAATTTTCCTGGCTGGGCATCCAAATGTGCCGGTGGGGAAGCATGCTTGTATGATATCTATGCTCGTTGGGAGAACACGCAAGTACCAATCATGGAACCTTCTCGTTCCAAGTGGTAGGCGCTGGATGTCCCAGTTTGGTAGAAAGGACTTGCCTCTTTTATATGTTTTCGGGCAATCCTTTGACCATTTGATGGCATCAACATTTGGATACTGCTTTGCAATTTGGTGGAGTTTGCTAGTGACGGCCTCCTCAGAACCCCGTGATGGGACTTTTTTAACTTGGTTCTTAGGCTTGAACTGGTCATGGGAATACCACTTGGACACCGATGAGACGTCTTTGATCAGAACATAAACTGGTCTTATGGTGATTGGATGCTTCTTTCGAAGTTCCCATGCAGGCACGTCCTCATCTTCTTGTGCTGCAGCTTCTTCAGGAGGCACTCGTTGTTCATGTATCGGCTGTGCTTGTTGAGAAGACTGTGGTATCTCATGATGCACTTGCTCGGTATGAGCTGGAGAAGGTTGTGGCATCTCATCAGGCACATGCTCGCTAGGAGGTGGGGAAGAATGTGGCATCTCAGGAATGTGGGGGTCACGAGATGGTGAAAATATCTCCCTGACCTCAACAACTTGCTCCAAATTTGGGAGAGGGGGAGGCGGCGAAGAAGCAGTCAATATAATATCCCATTTGTGCCAGAGGATGAGCTGCCCCATAACATCTCCAAGTAACACCAGCCCCTCGGGAGTTGCGTAGTCTATCCTCCACTGCATGAACTCAGGTTTCACTGTATGCACCTCGACCCTAGTGTAGTCCGGCGGTATCTTATTATTGTGGTGTAAGCCACCGGGAGGATATGCCACACCCGTTGCCACCTCCATCACAGTGTTCTAGCGGCCGCTGAGAAATACCAAGGTGCAACTAGTTGGTTCCCGTATGCGATCGACTAGGGTTGTGGTTGCAGTGGAACCTTGGCTGCTAGGAACTTTCGGAGGGCTACCAACTAATGTCAGTTCTCCTGGCGGCGTCACTAATATCTGTGGCTCCGTAGACGGTCCTTGCTCCTCCAGCGCCTTCGTAACTAGAGCCTTCACTTGGAGCTCAAGACTAGTCTCCCGGTCTTGGCCATGTTTTTTGTATATGTGCCTGTCCTCTTTGAATCCTTGCTTCCAGGTCGTCCTTTTCCCTAGCCCCCTGGTGCGGCATGTGTGCTCCTTATTTCCCAAGCCAAGGCTAAGCTCGTCCCTCTCTCTAGAAGGATTGAATGAGCCCTTCTCCTTGTCTTCAGCATATTTCAGTATCCTTGATACCGCCTCTTGGGTCTCCGGCTTATCAAACTTACGATTACTGCCGGATGATTCTGTACTCCTCGCATATATCCAGTTCTTTGAGCATACCTTCAAATTCGTCACATCGATATTCCCAGCAGCTGTGGCCTCTTCGTCCATCTTCCTAAACTGCTCTTCCTTGGCATAGTAGCCACCAGGGCCTAGATGTTGTTCCTCTTCGCCAAATTTCGGTGTTACAGACCGAGCTCCAATGCCTCTGGTGAAGTCTTACGAGCCACGAGCTCCTCCCATTGACTAGGAGTTATTTTGCGAACTCGTTGAAGGGAGTTAACCCCTTTTGGATATACTTTGTGTTGAGCTCCGACCTCCAACGTCGTAATGACTCTCCCATCATCCTGATAGCATTTTTTTACCAATTCGTGCTTACCCTCCAGAAATCTAAAATTGACCTTCTGATGCCTATCCCATAGTGAATTCTTTGTGTTCTCTGGTACCTCTTTCCAGTTAGGGATTGCTGGGTTCAATTTATCTTTTACTAGGGCCCCGATCGCATTACGGAATTTTCCTCTTAATTCCTTCTGCTCAAGGATCTCCCCTACTGGCCCGACCTCCGTTATCACATAGCATGCCTTAT